TTTTTTTTTAACACACCCCTGCCAGTGCTAGTGGTGCTGATAAGAGCAGACATCGCTAACACCTGGGCGGAGGGCCGGAGGCCCCATCTATTGGTGGGGGGCATCGCCTGCTGGAAAACGGGTCCAGCGTCCCATGTACAAATTGAATGTTGGGATACATCCGAAAAAGGTTGTGGGAGGGCCTGCCAGCATTGATTACCCCGGAATCCAGGGGATTGACTGAACAGGGCCTTAGAGAGGAGGAGTCGGCGCCAGATACCTGCAACTGCACACTAATTCCTCCCACCCCTAACTAGCCCCCCCTACTCACTGGCCCAGAATGTTCAAGCTGCCCACAATGACAGGCGTCAGCATTGACTGCCCCAATCCGTAGAAGAGGGGGCTAACTGCACAGCAAGATGGAGAGGCGGAAACGAAAAAATTTGGGTATTTTAGCAGAAGAAAGAATAACCTCCCTGGGGGACTCCGGAGGGCCATCTCTTATCTGAGTATGAGTGAGCAGAAGATGGGGTAACAAAATTCCTCAGTCAGGACAAGATCTCTGCCAGCCGAGGGGGGGCGGAGTGGGAATGAGGGTTCAATGTTTGTCCATTCCTTAAAACATAGGCGGTAGTCTCTCAGCTCTTCCAAATCCCACTGTCCTTTTCCCTTGTCTCCGCTCCATTCTACTTTCACAATCCATCCTTTTCTCTCCCCTCCCACCCAGTCTATGCAAACTGTTGTGGTCCGTCTCCTGACATCTCCTATCCGTTTAAGGAGGTCTAACTGTGCTTTTGTGTCTAGCCATCTCTGTGTGAGTTCGAAGTGTACCTGCTGCTGAATTTGTTCAGTGATTTCGGACTCTACTACTCTCACCTTCTCCATGACCAAAGTGCATCTTTGCCACCAAAGTGCCCATACTACTGCTCTCCTTCCAAGTTTGTACATGCTTTTTACGAAGGTTGTAGCTGCTTCTGCCTGCGGCCAATGACCAGCCATAATGGTCTGCCAAGACCAGGGCAAGGGGGTTCCAGATTCCATCTTTTTCCATATGCGATACCACCATCTCCATATGAATTGGGCTATCGGGCATTGCATGAAGATATATTCAATGGTTTCCGCCTTCCTGTAGAATGGAAAAAGGCTCTGGCACCGGTGGCACCATGGAAGCAGCAGGTTTTTTTGATCTAAGTTAGTGTGGTTCGTTAGCCAGTCGTTAGTTGGTAGACACCGGTGGGGAATCTGCCATTGCAGGGATGTGATTTTCATAGGCTTTGTTTTTTGTTCTTAGAACCATTTGATTGGCGACAGAAGGGAGTGATCCACATTTAGGTGTCTGGCCCATCGGTCGCTTACTATACCTCTTAGCCTTCTTTTAGGTCTGAACATTTTGTAGGCTGATCTGGCCAACAACTGATGGATACTGATACGTCTTGCTATGAGACCTCCCCTCCTCTGGAGGGGATCCCATGTCCAATCTGTCGGATCCAGGGCCAGATCCTGGATTGGTTTGGGAGGCTGGAACACCACCTTTTGTCATTTCTCTTTTAGGATTCTCACCCGGTACACAAAAGTTTTCTCCTTCTATTCGAAGGGGGCTGTGCTGCCTTGGAGAGTGTCTGCTCTAGTGATTGTGTAGTGTTCAACCATGTGTATCAGACTTATCCTATGTGGAGACTCTGTGTTTGCTACCTTGTCGCCTTCTTTTAAGATGGGGCCTCGTTTAAGGGTTTGGTACCAGGCCAACGGGATAACTTCAATCAGGTTGTCCAAGTGCTCCTCCACGTGGTGGCTGTATCGTAAGATTCATCCTCTGTTTTCCAGTCCCTTTTGTCTTTGTCCCTAAGGTCCCTAACTCTTAGCATCCCTCTTTTAACCCAACTTTTCCACGGTGAGGATGAACTAATAATGACACATCCACTCGAGTTCATCACCCATCGGTTTCCAAATAGAGGTTGCATGTAGACTTTCTCCAAGCGACCGGGGTAAATTTGTCAGGGAGCGGAAGTCTGCGCCAGGTTTCCAGCAGGGATGACCAGAAGTTATCCAGGACCTGATCGCCTCCATCCAGCCCCTCCCTTCCTCGGGGGAGCTTGCATGAGATTGTTCAGACCGGTCCTCCAGCCATGTCAGCGGATGAGTTGTTTGGGGGGCTTCCGGGGCCAGTCGGGCCAGGTGTTCAAGAGCTAATACACACTACGGGCTTAGAGGACCCAAAATGAGTTTTTTTATCCGTTTCAGTCGTAGTGTCTGTACTTGCGTGGCTGGGTTAATTATTCCCAACCCCCATCCTACCTTAGGTTGGATGATCGAATCCCACGTCACTCGGTTGATAACATTGTTCTGTTCGTCGTCCCCCTCCATAGGAAGGCTGCTGCCTTCCGTTTTAGGCTTCTCAGGGCTGTTTTACTTAGCGGTCACAGTAACAATTTGTACCATAAGGATGCAAGGACCACGTTGTTGATTACTAAGGCATGGTCGAAGAGGGATTACTGTTTTTTCAACTTTTTTGTTCCAATTGACCAACTTTTGTTGTGCTGGGGTGCTCATCCATTCGTCATTACTTTGCTGGCATCCCTCAACGGTCATGGAAACCCCTAGAATTCTAACTGGAGCTTCTAATGGCATCCATTTAATACATGGTGTCTCAGGGGGGCGTCCCCCTTGATAGTGAATCCACCAACCTTGAGTTTTGTTCCCCTAGTTGACTGTCATGTCGGAGACTTTGGCTAACTTTTCCATCATTTGTTGAATCTCCTTCATATTGTTGTGTGTGGTTTCTACCAAGATTGTGAGGTCGTTTGCAAAGAGGGAGCATATTGGAATTGCCTCCTCCGAGATATGTGTGATTCGGATTCTGGTAATGTTTTTGTTTGCTTGGAGGTTGGCCGCAAGTGCTTCCATGATGACCAGAAAAAAAAATGGAGCAATTGGGTCCCCCTGACGGACCGAGCGTTCCAGGCGTAAGAGTGGTGTCATGCATCCATTGACTTGGATGCAAGTAGTTGCATTCTGGTGCAGGATCTTAACCCAACATCTGAAGTCCGGCCCAACATTCATTTTTTTCATACATTTATCCAAGAATATTCAGTCCACGTGATCGTAGGCTTTTCGAAATCAATAAAGACCAGCGTCGCGTTCTTACAGGAGTATTTCGTGAGTTTGAGCACCTCGTGGATTAGCAGAATATTCTCTTGTATATTCCTGTTTGCCATGAAGTCGATTTGAGAGGGGTGAATAATGTTCTCCATTACCGGGATCATTCTGTTTGCTAAGGCTTTGAACAACATTTTATATATAACTGTGAGAAGTGTGATGGGGCGGTAATTTCTTATATCCATTTTATCCCCTTTGTTATACAGGAGGGTCAGTACTCTTTGCCCCACCCTTTCACCCATCTCGCCCTTGCGCCATACTTCCCCATAGAAATCCATGATGTCCTGACTCAGAAACTCCCATGTGGTTTCCTAAAATTCCTTAGGAAGGTCATCAATCCCAAGTGCCTTCTCCTCCTTCATTTGCAAGAGGGCAGTCCAGATTTCCTGCCTGGAGAATGGAGCCTCTAAGGAATCACGCTGGTCAGGTGTCAGTGATTTATTCACGGGTTTCAATAATTCACTTAATTAACGGTCGTGGTACTGTGCATCTGCTCTGTCTATGTGCGATGCGAAAATGTTTTCATAGAAGTCATATGTTATCTTGGTGCAACGAGCCGTGGACACGGCTGAATCTGAATCCCTGGCTTGTGGTTCGTAGAGTGCTTCAATCATTGTCCTTTTGAAGTGTGGCCTTGCTAAGCCGAAGAAGTGATAGTTCATCCCTCCTTCGGTTGAGAGTCTGGATAGTCTTGCCCTTGTCTGGGCTCCCTGCCATCGGTACTGTGCATATTTCAAGATTTGAGATCTCAAGTCTAGTATTTGAGTTTGTAATTCGCTGTACCCGATTCCTGTCCTTGCGAAATTTGTTTTTGTTCGGCCTCCATAAGTTTTTGCATGATTGTAATTTCTTGTTGGTAACACTGTGTGGCTATCTGTTTAGAATATTCATTGCATTTTTTCGCCAAAAAGAACAAACCTTTATGGAACTATGCTATTTGAGTGTCTTGTTGGGAGCGATGATCCTTCCAAAAGTTTCAGATACTTCTGGAAGGATTTTGACTGAAGCAAGGAGGTGTTAAGCTTGTAATAGTCGGTCCCCAAATCCGGACGCTTTCGAAGGGTCCAAACGGCCATACACATCCTGTGGTCAAGACCCGAGTGCGGGCTAGTGAGCATTATTGCCACCAAGGTGAGCCCCCCACTCAAATCTTCCGATATGAGGATTAGATCGATTCTAGATTTGGACAGTCTACCGGGGTTATTG